GAGTGAGTGAGTGAGAGTGAGTGAGTGAGAGTGAGTGAGTGAGAGTGAGTGAGTGAGTGAGAGTGAGTGAGTGAGAGTGAGTGAGTGAGAGTGAGTGAGTGAGTGAGAGTGAGAGCGAGAGTGAGTTTGAAGCAGCGCATCCCCGTGTACAGACGAGGTATATCATTCGCGTGTACAGATGAGTCACTTTTCGCGTGTACAGACGAGGCGCCGGCCTCCTACCTGGATCCCTTCTTTTCTTCCTTCCCTTCCCTTCCCTTCCCTTCGACGAGGTGACCAGGGACCAAGGGGACCAGGGGACCAAGGGGACCAGAGGACCAAGGGGACCAGGGGACCAAGGGGACCAGGGGACCAAGGGGACCAGGACGACCATGTGGACCAGGAGCAAGCATACAAGAGACGGGAAAGGAAAATAATTATTTTTTGATTAGATAATTAATTTGTTGTTGATTACGTAAATAAATATTTTTTGATTCAGTAATTAATTTCTTTTTGATACACATGCCCATTGTTTTCACCCATTTTGAACTGGTCCAAGCAGGCTGGACAATTGGGGGGTTCCCAGCCACTGGTTCACCAATACAAATTCAAGTACCAGGATGCGTCTTTCTACCAAGATTTTGGCGACTTCCAGTCCTCAGGGTTGGCCGTCGTTCGATGGTGCCGAAAAGCCCCTGCATTCTACGGCTCCATTAATGATGCAACAACAAGCCCTCTCCATCCAGGAACAGGCACTCCAACGGACATGAGCACAGGACAATTCTTGCATATTCTTGCCCTGATGGATAGATACATGTATTGAGACAGGGTATTCGTTTGATCACAGCCCTCCAACTGGTGATGTTGTTTGTCAGTTCATCCTTACCACTTTGGATACAGTAGAAAACTAAAGAAAGGCATACACGTAGTTGAGGGACAGCCAAACAAACTCCAGTGTCCCCCTTCTCATTTCACATCTTTTCACAGTGGTCTGACACGGATCTTCCCTTCCCATCTGCTGATAAACCTGGTGGCTGCCAGCGTACTGGAGAAGGACACCAAGTCGAGCTGCACACCCGATGTGCCTCGAGGCTCTCTCTCGCTGCACAACCGAGCTTCCCCGAGGTCCCGACGGTCTAAGCTGCAGCTTATTGAGAAACTCGGTGGGTCTGAGGTCTCTAAGTCCAATCATTTATACGAATGGATTGGGTCCCATCTTACTACCGGAACGGTCAAGGCCATGTTAAAAACTAGTGATCACTTTTTTACTGACACAGGACAGACCCTACAAATTGCTGTACAAGGTATACACTCTCTGGAATAATCATGAAAGTGGAAAGCCACCTGTTTGGTGTTTGGAACATAGTCATCCAAGGAGCCATGCCATCCACATCCATGATCGTTCCAGGGGTTGTACATCCCCTCCACGTCTGACACGGTTTTATCCTAGAGTGATGGTTCTGTTGTACGACTGGCACGTTGCTGGGATCAATGGTGGGTGCGACTTGGCAACCCTGAGGACAATGTCTCTCCAACCCCCTTTTTTTACATGTAAACACATATTCAGAATGCATTTGCTGGTTTGGGTTTCAGGTTCTTCGTCTGCCAGAATTACGTCTCGGCGACGCGCTGAGCACTTGTGACAGAACTCGGGGCCTCATCCAGCAATGCAAAACAACATGCTTTACTTCAAAATAGAGTTTTTCTGGTTCTTCTTCTCCATCCCTAGAAACCCAGCCTCACCCAGCAATAACAGGTAGGAACTGCCCTAACTTCATCTCCCAGTAGATCCTGAAATCCCAAGGAACAGTAAAGAACTGTCCCATCGTCTGTGGTGGTCTTCATACTACTTTGTCTCATCAGGGCCGATCCCCTTATGTCTTGCGAGTCTTGCAGCACAAACTTCTCCTGCCCTACGCCCTACAACTGCAATGACCTCCTGAAAAAGTTGCTTCGTACCTTACGTCTTATATCGTTGAGGCCCCTTTTGGGCCTAGTGACAAGTGTGTTCTTCAACCGCCTATCCACGGGTCAAAGATCTGGGACTTCTTTTGAGTCCCAGAACATCTTTCAGCGGTCAAGCTATTTTTCGGACGATGGCCTTCAAAGCTGGCCACTTCTGTGCGTTTCTGTTGATAGACATAAATATATATATATAGTATGTATATATATATATATTTATAATTGAGTATAGTTTCCTGTAATGGATGTGACATGTTCAACTGGTACAGCTGTAATGTGGTGGTACACGGTACACATGTTCAGAAAAAAGAAACGTTCGCTTCTTCGAGGGGTTTTCAGCATCTTCTCCACAGCAACCTCATTCAGTCGGCATTAAAAGACAAACTATGCAACAGCACGAGTCCGCAAGACACAAAGAAGCTGCGAGTTGGGAACAGGAACCTTTCTATGCACTCTAACCCATTCTAACCCCTACGTAAGACGCACCTTTGAAGGGCATTACTTTCGCGTACTCTGTCTTTCTATATTTATTTGAAAGACATCAAAAGGACTCAACAAGTCTACAATCATCTAGGGGAAAAAGTCTACAATGTTACCATGTTGGACCTTGTCTGTTGTGGGTCTTGGGGCCCTCTCATTCTAGACCCCTAGTCGTTGCGGGGGGGAGTTTACAACAACTACTTTTGGACGAACTCCCAGAGCAACTGGTTCCCCCAGGTTACCCTATCCGACTGTGCCTTGCAAATGAAGAGCTTTCGGCCAGCTAGATGCTGCCAACTGGAGGCAGGGGTTTCGCGAGGGGCCTTTTGACCCGACCACTGTGCCAACAGAATCACCACTGGTGGGACAAATTGGTGTTTCACCACTTGGTAGGCATTGCGACTTGGTTCGCGATTTGCGGTCACCTTGGGGCCCATTTCAGTCGTGCCAAAAGTGAAATTGCATCCATCTCATTCCACAACAGGCGATATTCATGACCTATACTATACACCATCTTGGGATATCTTGGGTAGAAAGTAAAATGGTCGCAAGCGAGTGAGCAAGACAAGACATGGATTTATTGAAGTAACATACACGATCCATCCTGAATCATAGCCATGGTGAACAGGATGCCTGGGTTTGTGTTTACAAATACTTGGCAGAATTGACTGCACTACAGTTACATTGTAAGCCAAAATTAGAGAAGGCAGAAAAGAGGCAATGCTGCAGAAACCCTAGGAGAAACACCTCTGGCATCACCCTACTTACTGTAGAACATCCCATGTAAGGATATGTACGGTATATTTTTTCCGAGATACACTCAAAATTGGCGTGTCGTCTTTGGTGAGGTTGGGGTTCCGAGTTTGGAATCGATTGGATATGATTGGATGCATTTCTTCGCGTCCTTCCCTTTGCCAAAGAATGGAGGTGCTTGAACTTACAGTATCTAATATCCGACGATTCCTCATTGCCAAATCAACCCTATCCCCTGATTGTCAGGGTGCCAATTGAACCGATCTTATCCCTCAAGGCCCAAATCGCAGATCACCTATATTAAACAATAAAAAACACATGATTTCCTGGGGATCCGATCCTCAAGGTCCAGAATCTTCTGACTTGTACGGGCATCGCTACTAGGAACATGAAGCTACTAGGGGCTCCTGGCCGTACTACTAGGAGCAAGTAGCTACTAGAAACAATAAATACATAGAATTTACATTAATTGGAATCTAATTAATAGAATTTAATTAGTAGGGAAGGGTTTATCCAGGTGCCTTCAGATTCATCGATACCACGTTCGGCTGGAGGTCTTCGTCCTGCAGCGGAAAAAAGAACACCAAAAGCCTGATCGGCAGCCGGCAGCCTCATGGTTGAGCATGTCAGATCCACTTAGCGAAATCAACACAGAACAAGCGCAACCATCAGAGACACCATCAACGACCATGAGACCAAGAACAGCACCCTCCCAGCTGCCAAACTGTTCAAGCACAATTCCTCTGTCCTTCAAGTCCTGCAACATCTGCTGAGCCTCCCCATCGGACGGCCGCCCATCCCGATCGGGACCCCTTGGACCTCCTAAGCACAGTAGGTGAGTCAACATCAACTGCAGCGGAATCTTTGGCCAGATGCATGCGACACGTAAGGTACATGGCCCATGTGAACTTGCAGTCTTGAATAGGCACATGGACTCGTAACATGGACACATGGACAAAGGTTTGTCCTATGCAAAATTCTATGAATCTTCAGGGGGCGTTAGACTTATCGTCCAAATAAAAGGTATCAACATGTTCAACAAATGCTCAGAGACGATTCACTCCATCAGTAAACTCAGACACCAAAAGCCTCTCACAACCACGTTTCGTTCAACCTTCTCGACTTCTCACCTAACCCCCCTCGTAGCTCGCGTACGACGCGCTCGTGCTCCGTCTCCGAGTCACCTCTGGCCAACGTCCTGCTTTGATGGCCAAATCCTCGAAGCAAACGGCAGACGTGGCGGTGGTTCCGGTTCCGTTCTGAGACGGGGTGAACTGGTGGTTTTGAACCGACCGATGGATCCAGTGGTTTCCCGAATTTGGGAATCCTCAGAAGGTTGAATCTTCAATTCATAAAGTTCAGAAGATATGTGTAGAACTGTAGACTCTGTGGAAGACCCCCCACAAGGTCCCATGTTGTTCCCCTTAAGGTCCCATCGGTTTGAAAAGGAATGTTGCTTGCAACATTAAAGGGGTGAGTGCCCAGACGCTCATGGACCCTCCTAAGTAGGGGCCGGACCCTCAAATCCCTAGGGTTTTGAGGGACCAAGAGCAGTTTGGAGCGTCTGGGTGGGTTCCAAATCCACTGACTGCCCCTTCTCCTCCCCGCCAGCTCCGCAGGCTGCATGCCAAGCCCAGCAGCCGCACACGTGTTGAAGGAGATCACATCTGGTTCCAATCGCTCCAGACGCCAGGATTGAAGGTCCTTCAGCTCCTGAGCTCCTCAAAACTGACCGGCGCAACTCGCGGTTTGGCAGCTCTAAAGCGAACGTTGGACTCAGGGACTGTGTCATTTGGGGTTCAAGTTCCTGCAAGGTGGAGCTCCAAACGGGCACCTTTTCATCTGGGCAGGAGGCTCCAGCCTTCTGCCTCCCGGATCGTTTCTCCGCCCGGTGGACCGATCGCCCCATAGACTCGATTGGACCGTTCGCTTCACCCTCACCGTTGGAAAGCATCGACCCCGGCTGCCAGAAACCCAGGCCAGTGCTGGCTGATGTAGCACAACCAAGGATTATGACCCAATGGTCCAATGGTGTGCAATGGCGGGTTTCTTTTCTCCTCTAGAGTCTATAGCTTGCCCATGTGGCTTGGGAACATGCGCCCTAGAGGTGACAAACATGTATGTTATTTCTGTTATAATCCGAGTATGACTATTCTGAGCATGACCATACACTTTCTGGTTGTGTCATCGGTGGTTCAACAACGTCTCGTTCTCCCTTCTTTCAAGAAGAGAGCGACCCCATGTCTGTGAGACACCGTCCTCACAACAGTGGATGTAGCTGACATGGGAAGAGCACTGGGATCTTTCCCAGTTAACAACACCTTTTGAGCTTCTATGGCCAGCTTCTGACGATAGCTCACATTTCTGGCAGTAAAAGTCCTTCTGCGTCTTCCACAAGTTGCTCCGCGAACAGAACTGCCATAGGGCCATATCATGAAATGGACATACCACAAAAACGATCAAAAACGAAGGTTGGCCTTAGCTAAAAGCCAGGGGGGACCTGGGGGTAACACAAACAACAGCCTCACGATCTTGAAGCGATATGGTTCTCAATCCTCTTACCTAGCTCCATCAATCCCTTCAATTTCAATAGGCGCCCTTGGAGGATCCTCGAACACCTGCGCTTGGGATGGTCTAAACCGATAGCCAAGCAGAACGCACACGCAGAGCAGTAAAGTGATCAAAGTCGGTTGGTTACAATGGAGCTTGAGTTGTCAGAATTGTTCGAGCCCTGCACATCAAGGATTTGAGCTTCTGGCCAGTGCAAATGTTCCTCCCCCATCATGTCCAAAACCTTCATCTTCCAGAAATTCAAGGGTGCTCGAGAGAACCAGCAGCCATTCCGGTGTGCAGGATGTGGTTCATGTTGGGCTTAGCTTCATTTGGGACCGTCGGATTCTGCTGGGACCATCCACTACTAGTGCTGAGCCTCACGTTTCGACCTTGAATCCATCCCGTTCTCCTGCTGCCAGAGCCGCGTTCATCACGATGAGATTCATTTCCACCTCCCACAACAACGTGGAAATGTGCGGTGCTGTATGTGCTACATGTAGCGCAGCCGATGCGGGACCACAAAAATGCTAGAAGCAAACCATAGAAAACCATACACATCCACACATTCCATTTTGTGTTTCGCTTGTTAAAACAATTTCAAACCAGTTGTCATTAAAGTAATTCGCTTTCACGGTAGAGGTTGACTTCCAAAGATGAAAATACCCACCAGTGATTGAATTCCAGCAACATGCGCCTTCCAATGTCTTCAGTTCTTGGTGAATGCGCGGCCCCGGGAAAGTCGTGGGTGACCAACGCCACCCCCAGTCCTACCTGTGAAAAACAGCAGTGTTTGGAGCTCTATAGATTACAACATGATATTCAACTATACCAACACCACCCAAAGAGTGCTTATTGGATGAAAAAAAACATCTGCAGGGCGTGCAGGGCAACCTTTGGGTGGTGCTGGTATGCAACTCGGCCTTTTGTGCAAAATGTGTACCTTTGACTGCCTCTCAAAACCTCAGGTGGGTGGCACGCCCTCAGTGCAACTGCAGTTTTGGTCCGGTCAGGCATGAGGAGGCTCCAATATCCAATTCTTGATCCTGCTCCTCTTAGATCAAGCCCGACCTTGCCTTGCCATGCAATGTTTCTTCTTCCTCCATTGCTCCTAGCACATCCTGCTTCCCCCTATCGCACGAAGTGACAAGATATATAGGTAGGATACTAGGTAGGATTTGGATGGATTTGGTAGTTGTTTGATGTGCGTAGTGACATAGACAATTGAGCATGGAAAACTATACTTTAAGGCCCATTCCACTTCCATCTTAATCGGAGCGTCATTGGACCCATCATTGGACCCATCATTCGAACAAGTTCGACGAGTGGGCGTGGATGCGCTCTCTTGACAGAGAACCTTGACCCACCGTAGATGGACAAAATATTCAAATCCTTCAAACCACCTTGACCCGACTGTTGTTAGAGAGCCTGCCAGAGTGTTTGGGCAAATGGACAAACACATCAAAAAAAAGCACTCAACATGGCACTTTGGGGTAAGGGTTTCGTGACAGTTACCCTCCCAGGGGGTTTGATGTCTTTATCAATCTTCTGTAGTTCAAGGATTTCTTGACGGTTGGGTGTCAGAAAAGGATAATATGTCACGCAGTATACTCCAAGCCCGCTACATCAATCTAACAGACCTCAACTCGTGGGTTCCACGAAGCGACAAAGGCGTGGGTTCCACAACAACCACCCCGCATGTAGGACGAACAGGTGGTGTTCCGACACATGCCAAGTCTCTCTATCGAACTGGAAACTGAAACTGCCTGCCTCAAACTACAACAATCTTGCCTTGTTTTCGTGGTCCCCACCCATGCAACTTATAAAGTCGCCTAGAAGGTTGCCATGGCTTATAAACTGGCCATGCCGCTTGCTGCTTTACCCAGTTGGCCTGAAGAATCACTTGCTACTGCTTCACATGGGGCGATTTTATGGAGCTGGTTCCTATGTGGTAGCGCTGGTGGTGGCAAACAAGTATAAGCAGTATAGTATAGTAGGTAGTGACTAGTACTCAGTAGTTATGTGATATGTGGGTAGCGGTCGGTAGTAGGAGCAGCAGCAGTAGTAGAAGGAAACACGTCGAGGTTAGTAGTATTATTGTTAGTAGTAGTAGATAGTAGATAGTAGACTTAGTAGATAGTAGACTTAGCAGTTAGCAGTTAGCAGATAGCAGTTAGCAGTTAGCAGTAGGAGTAGTAGTAGTAGTCGTCGTCGTCGTCGTCGTACTGATTGCTGGTAGTAGCTTTAGTTGTAGTAGTTGTCGTCGTCGTTGTCCATCTGTCTGGCTTGCCTGCTGGCCCAACTGCCGTAACAGGCTCCGTGCTTGAAGCCAAGGGCCTCCCATCAAGCGCAAGACCTCGGTTTCGCCGCGCCGAATTCGCCAGCCCAGTCGACCTTTCACGTCATCCGGTTCCACAAGGGAAACCGAACCTTCCGGTGGATTCACGCACGGGGAGAGCTTGTTGCCACTGACTGGACATGACTGGACTGACCCATCATCGTGTCTGAAGTGCATTTGTGGCCACCCCAGGCTTTGTCCTCTCTCAAACCATCTCCTACTGCAACTCCTGAAAGTTGTTGACCTTAAAAGGGGATCCTGGGTGCACCTGCATGAGACCTTTTTGGGTGATTCGTCCAGGCATCCGGTTCGCGTTGCCTCCTACAATGCCCAGGAGGAGACATATCTTAAAATCATACATGAAAACAAGAAGGTGCATCTGAATGCGCGTTTCTCTGCCAGACTCAGGCGATTTGTTTCTGGGCGACTTCTTCATCTTCTGGTTGGCAACCGGTCAACAAACATCCAAACCTAACATCAGTTGGCCTCCACCCGTCTCAGCGAACCCGGCCGAGCGAGCGTCAGGGTCAACGCCCTTCTCCCGGAGAGTCCTCGGAACAAGACTCGCCAAGACTTGCTTCGAGGAACGTTCCCTTGGTCCCTTGCTACTAGCTTCTTAGTTACGTTCGTAGCTTATGGCCTGCAACCTACTCGCGGTGGCCTCCACCGAGCGTCCGCGTCCTTGTTACTACAGCGTCTTTGTTATCGACACTTAGACTTGGGGAAAGCCTTCTAATACAGGGCCTAGTGGCTTGGTGGTCCCAACTTCCGCAGTCCTTCCGATTTAAGTCGGCACAAAGAGAGACAACAAACGCACTGAAACATCCACTGTCTCTGCTTTTTTCTCACAGCTGTTAGGGTGCACACTGCCCCAAACTATAGGAAACGCATACCACGAACCAACACAACGAACCCATCAAAGCCGCTCTTCGATCGCTCTCATGACGTCTCTTCCAGAACGGGGAACTCTGCGCAGGAACCAACGCGGACTCGTCAAGTGTCTGCAGGGCTTGACGCTTCATCTGCCAAGGGCTTGACGTGGCTCCGGCGGACCTTGGGGAGTTCCGGCCCACATCCCCTGGGAGTCCAGGACCAAAAATAACTGGTCTTGGAACGGTGATCCGAAAAGAACCGTTCTTTTGTGTGTTTTTTTTGGTGGTGACAAAGATAGTCTTTGGACTGCTAGGGCATCTATAGCGAAATCCTGCAGAGAGGTTGAGTGATGTCAAGGGCCCTCTTCTGACTAAGTGTTCTTGAGAGGGGGATTCTCAAGATCCCTACAACCAAGAGGGACTCTCTTCCAAACAGGAACATTGATTTCGGTTGTTTTTTCGCAGTAGTGGAGGTATAGTCGAGTCATAGTGGAATTTTCATGAATTTTCCATTGGCCCGTGTTACCGCAACCAGAAGGGCTAAAATAAAGTGGCCGACAGCCCACTGACTGTGGGGTTCCTTGAATCAAGCAATGTTGATAAAGCTGGGTCCTTGGGTGGTAGGGAGAATTCAAGAGAATTCCCTGATCCAACCAGCCTGGTTGGGTTTCATGGCCATTTCTGTGTTCTGCCTACTTCTAGGAAAAAACAACAGCAATTCGATTCAAGAGAGCTTGCCAACCAGCAAAATCATGTCCATGTAGTCCATGTAGTCAAACAAAGTATCATTAAAAGCATGTGGCCGACCTACATGACTGTCCGGTGCCCCCGACAAGTGACTCTTGACATCAAACAACACCTCCTCAAGAGCTGAGGAGACAGTGCAACCATGAAGATCGGATGATTGATGGACCAATGGGACCGTGTTCCTTTCAGCTCCGAAGCTACCGAGTAGGCTAATCAGATCACCCCAATTTGTCTGATTTCTTGGAGGTTCTTTTGAGCTCCATGCTTTCCACAGATCTTTCAGAAAACACGCGACACTCGATGACCCCGCTCCACACCGCAATTGACCCGACGACTGGGGGCAGTTGCTCGGAGTGATTTTCCCGAACGTCGGGCCTTGTCTAACATCACATAGCCTTCATCCAAGTCGGCACACAGATGCACTCAGACTTGAACATCGCTCAACTATGATCAACTCCTTTGCAGTTCCATCGATCAACATCCAAAAAGATCACGCCAAGTGGCAGGACCACATTCAACATCACCACGTCCACTCGGAGGGTCGGCACCAGAAAAAGTCTGGGACCGCGGTCGCAAGGCTTCGAATCACTCGGACGCCAGGCTGGATCAAGGTCCCCAGGTTCTTGGCGACTCACCTTGAGGACTAGGGACCACGGTGGCTATATTAATCGCATGGTTTCTGGCCGTCGTTCAGATCCCCCATGGATCCCTTTTGCATGCAAGGGAACACATTTGCAGGGGAGTTCGCTGTTGGGGTTGGATCTGGCTGGTTAAAACCAACATGGTGAACGACACAAGTTGTCAGTCTCGAGGTTGAATGCTCTCAACATGTGGCTCCGCTACGCACTGGCAGAACAAGTGTGGTATCAGAAAACCTGCATCGGTTTGACCCTAGCTTGTAAACCTCCGTGCAGAAAAACTACAGGAGATACACTTGAATGCATCTGTTGCTCGATTCCACGTAATTCCAATCAATGATTCCTGGCTTATGCCATAGGCAAAATTTAAGTTTGACACCTCGTCGAAACACGGTGAAATCAACTGACTAGACAAACGAGTGGTTGTCATACAGGCAAATCAAATGGAACAGCTTTGGGTGGGCAAAAACAGGTGTGCCTCAAAGTGAAGGACACCTAGCCAATCCAGGAAACATACAACTAATTTGTTTGGAAAACTGCAAGCAAAACCCAACCCCCTGGACTGGTTCCCTACTGCTGTCCAATAAACAGTGGGAACAATGTCATCAACGTCCTGTCATCGTGGCGGAGTTTGACAACACAAATCCTAAGACACTGCGCCAAATGTTTGATTTCTTTACAAAACAACTCTTTTGGGCGCTGTGAGGCTCTCGGCCGCTCAACAATTGACCCCAGCAGTCAAAACGACTTCCCTTGTGCCCCGCTGCCTCTGCAAATGATGCCAGGCAGCAAACCACCTTTGGAACCGGCCAGTGCAAGGCTGCGCTTTGGGTGGTGAAAAAAATGCATCACAAAATACCAAGCACCAACCTTCACTTGGTTGAGAGATGCTGATGATTGAAAATTGAATGTTGTGCTCACCGTCACGCGTTAAAAAAATTGGACCCGTCACTCAAACACGAATATTTTCTTGACTTCCCCCAGAACCTTGGCGCGCTGCAACATCAAATAACTATGACTATAACCAAGGTCCTCCCCCTCCCGCCACCAAAAGCAACACCTGCCTTCCGGCAGCTGCCAATGCTGTCATCTTGGCCGTCTCCCCGCGTGCATCACTCAGGCCACTGGCTTGGGTCACAGCGTCAGCTGCACGACGCCAGTCGTTCTTCCGCGCAAGGCGGGACAGGCGCACGGTGAGCTCTTGAGCCTGTTGTGGTAAATCAAAGGTTTGGAAGGTGAAGTATGCTCAGTTCCTGCTGACTGGAGAAAAAGCATTGCAGCTCACCCTGGTGCCTCATTCGTTTTCGCTAAACAGCACCACGGTCAGTTTTACCACAGGTGGTGGAAACGAGCAGGTTTGAAGCTGGTCAAGTAATGATCTATATGTATATATATATACCTAGTATCTAGCAATCTAGTTTACTCTGGCTTAGTTGTCGGTGGGGCTGGGATCCACTGTCACTGGCCTCTGTTTGCGAACGGCCTTTCAGGTTGTGCTACTCGTGACGGGGTGTGAAAACCGGACCACCCAAGCGCAAGCCACGCGTAGGTTTCCAGCGGACAAGCTGTGAATGGTTCTAGCCTGCTCGGAATTGTTGACTCTTGCGCATAGCACAGAAACACAGCTGCAGTTGCACTCAGGGTTTCCTGTCAATTTTCTTCGAATCGTCTGAGACAGCGGCTCCCGCGGGCCTGGCTGCGCGGATACTTTGAGCTAACCTATTGCCCTGGCGGCTTTTTCCAGCGTAGGTAGCAACTCTCATAACTTTTGGTACCTTCCGAATTCATATTATGTACACCTTCGGAGGTTGGCTTTTGGCTGGGGTCTGGATGATTAAACCCTTTTCAGCATGGGCTATTGAGTCCTTCGAGGGCCTCATAGGACCCATGAATGGGAACTGCAGGAGGAATCACAGTCTCTGGGCTTAAGTCCCGCACGCGGCGCCTCTCATGGCTCTTTTTTGTTCACACTCACCAACCTCCACCCCCACACTTCGCCGTGGAAACGATCTACCGTTGCATGTCACCTTCGACCCAGAAAGAAGAACACCACATCTGTCTCGGGACGCCTCTACTGGCCTCTGTTCAAGGCCTTCGGCCAGAGGTCTGGGGGTGGCACTCTCAGCTGCATGTGGGTCTTGGCTACTGCACGGCGTTGTAGAATGTAGGGATGTGGGTCAAACCAGCATTATGAACACCCAAAGCTTGTGATCAATAGCCTCCATGCAAGTACAAAGATGCAAACACATCATGACCATTCATCCTGGAAGGGAAGCAAAGGGCCTCTCGGTTTGCGTCGTTGTTATAGGATCCTTCTTGGATAGGTCCAAGGCACGAACCACCTTCCCTGCAGCACTGACTGTTACTGGTGAGTGTGGGAAACCCGCTTATGCTTGGCTGGACCATCTGCACTCCCATCCTCCCAAAGGAAGCGACACAGAAGTCACAAAGTATTGTTTATTTTTTGGAGGACAGTAATTTCTCAAATGGCCATGTCATGTTCATCCATGTTCCAACTTTCATGTGTTCATCAGTGTTTCTTGCAATCTGTCACACACAGAGAGAGTGAAAATCACCAGAACTCCCTCATCTCTCCGTCATTTCTTACAATCTTACGTATCTTACGTATAATGTGTGTATATATATATGTATGGTACCCCCCAAAAAAAACCTATGTTCACATCACTTTTGCTGGTATTTGCAATATTTTGTGTCTATTTTGGGTTGCCTTTTGATCCTTGGTTTTTTTGGGGGGTACCATATATATATATAATTAGGCTTGCATTGAATCCCAAGTAAATTAGAACCTATAGTGATAGACCTTTGAATCAACATATAGTTTACAAATAATTGAAATAGACTCAAATTTGAATTTGAATATACAAAGTAGAGTAGAGTTGAATAGATTGGAATTTAAGTTTCATTAGAATTAGACTGGAATTTATTATTTAGGGTTTGCAATTCTTTGCCTTCTGATTATGATGTACTTGCTCAACTGCATTCAATAAGAGGAGTACAATTCACACCCTAAAAGCAAGACATATGGTTTTGCATGGAGTTGCAATGAATTAGATTACTCCATCCAAGAACTGTTTAGTAAACACATAACCTTATGGATTTGGACATTTTTGTAGTACATAGTTAAATGAACAAATATGCTTACCAACTGCACACCAGCACTCAGAAACATAGGTTTTTTTTTGGGGGGGCTAGCATATATATATATATATAGTGGCACTATACAGTATACGTGAGACTCATATTTGGTGGTTGTTCATGGTCGCCGATGCATTCGTTCGTCTGGGTTCCACGACATGAAACGACTTGAATCACTTGAAGTTGAAGACCGACAGCCACCCACCGACCAGGTCTCCCCGACTGCCTCCTTCAAGGCGCCACACGGGCCACGGATGGGGCTGCGAGCTGCGAGCCTAGAGTGGCGTGGCGGGTGCTGAGACCCTTTATATCGCGGGTCCAGAAGCGCAGCATCACAGCTATGGGATTTCTGGAGTCAACCAGTCAGTCATCACCTCATTGAATGAATCAAATATCTGTGAGTCTGTGAGATGTCGTGTTGATTTCAGTATATATACATGAATACACATGCAGCTCTAAAACAGTGCTTCACATCCGGAATAGGTCTCTCAGTGCTCGCATTCCTCTTCCAAATTGCTGGTTCTTTGGAGCTGCCGAACGGGAGCTCTCTTTTGGGGGTCCCCCAAAGTACTTCCAAATGCTTGGTCCAAAACGAGCCGCCTCACCCCTCTCCCCAGTCAAAGCGGCTTCCTCCGTTTCCTACACCGCCCGAATAAACCGGGCGAAGGCAGCATCCGCCTGCAGCGGAGACGGTTGATGATTGGAGTGGTTTCGGGTCCACAAAAGGGTGACGAAACCCTTCGAGCATGGATACCGAAAGCATGAGTTCAGCTCAGCTTCTGTTTCTTCCATGGTCCATGTATGTCCGTTGATGGAGCGAAACCACACGTTTACAAGGCCGGATCCTTTGAAAGAGTAAGGCAAGCAAACCAGGAGCACGCCGCGCTGTCATCAACACCGATAGAAAGTTTCTGACTAAAGGTGACAACACCCAGAAGGCTTTCTCATGGAAAGGCACAAGGATTGACCTTCTGGGATGAGTGATCCCTGCTTTGTCAAACTGCGTAGGGCAGGGACATCCAGCACTGACATCCCACATGTGTCACATGTCAGGCCTCGAGGGACTCGAAGGGACTCGAGGGACTCGAGCTTCCAAGAAAGATAAGAAAGGATCCTACACTCCCGATGTCAACTCACATGGACCCGGGTCAAATGGCACCTCCAAGACTGTTTTGATCTACAAACCAGTGGTTTTCAGGGTCTATGTTAGTTTTCAGTGGGGTCATTTGTCACCCATGCATCGAAAACAGCAGTAACCGGAAACCCTTCACATCCCTTCACTCAATGCTTCGAACGCAAGAAAGTTGTCATACATAAAGCATCATAAAGCGCTACCAGCTCAAAGTCTCAAAGTGCGATGGCATAAGCCCGCTGCATGTACAGCTGCCGCCGACCCAGCACAGGAAAACGCCCACTGAGCCGACCGACCAGCCAAACCAGCTTTGGCACCAAATGTTCGCACCACGTCCATGATGTCAGAATTTGTGGCAAACCGAATCAAACCATGTCATGCTACTACTCCAAAATGACCATTCTAAGCAGCATACTGGATCTTTTCCAAGTGATGTCACTGTTTGCTATGATTTGCTATGCGGATGTCTTTTTTCCAACCCCCCAGAGGATTTGGGATGAGTCGTGAACTCTTTGTGTTCCCGTCTCCATTTCCACCGGTCTACAAATCATGCCACCTTACAGTAATGAGTCGCTCAAAGATCTCAAGAAGTCTCAAAGATCTCCAACTTCCATAGCTCCAAAGGAAGGTATTGGAGGCCTTGACTACCCATCCATTCTCCCATGCTCATCCGCCATGCACCACCATGCCATCCATCCCCATCTCCATCTGCCTCAGCCATGCCGCATGACCGCAGACTCACCAGGCAGGTGAACACGAACGGCGCGCGGCTCGCTCTGCCACGAGCGGCACCGCGGCGAGATCTGCAGCGCATGGTGCCATGGCACTCGCAGAGTAGAAGCACTGCAGGACTGAAGACCGACTAGATCGATACTTAGATCGATATATGTAGAGCTTGTAGGGGGCAAAGGTGTAGTTGGGAATCCAAGAGGTCTGCTAACTAGCAGATCTGTCGGATCAGACCGTCTGTCGTTGTGGCCCAACGGATGTTTTGTGATCTGACTTCCTTGGACTAGACTAGATATAGATGCCTTCTGATGCACACGGAATCCTCCTAGCATTGCTCCTTTTTATTAATCTTTATAAGTTGCAAGTCAATTGACCTCTGGAATTGCCTGGAACGAATTAAAGCTTCTTCCCCCAAAACGGTCATGGTCGAGGTCCATGCGCAGAAACGACACGCAAAAAAGAAGGCTTTTGTTCCGAGAGGAAACGCCATTCCAGCGCTGACAGAGCATCCAGCAAAGCAGGTACCTGGCAGCTGGTGACGGACTTATTGAAAAGCAGGGGCTATCAACGTGTCATTGAACCACTAGATTGAAAAAAGATTATAGGAGAATGCACTCCCAGATCCCCAGCCACTTGCCACTCCGGCTCTTAGCGGTTCTCACATTTCTTCAACAACCAGGTCATGATAAAGCGCAAACCTCCAAGGCTCCCGGGACCTGGCCTGCTCCGGTTCCAGTTGCTCCTCGCAGTCCGCCACAATCTCAGCGCAGCAAAAACACTCCACGGGATCTGGTAGAGTCTACCTTCTTCTCTGGCGCCGAACATGTCATCTGTTGGCACTTTCTTCATACACACAGCTTCCACAGTAGGAATCCTGCAGTCACATCACGGTGAAACCGCTCACAATGTCTCACAGAGTTCTAGAAAACTGTCTCAAATATGGATCTCTTTCCACCTCCCAGGATTCCGGACTGGATCCCAAGCAGCTGCCACTTCCGGTGCGACGCCCCCAGCGAGGACGCCTCGAGGCGGGGCATCCGGCAACGAGCGTCCAGGCCGTTGCTTTTTGAGGAAGTTCCAGGACACAAAAACCCCAAACGCTCCATGGGACTGGCATATTTAGATACATTGACCCCTAAAAACCACCACCCCAAGTGATCGTGATCGGCAAAAATGGCAGTCTGATGGAGTGTCTGGGTACTACAAATACGATATATACTATATACTATCATATACAAATATACAACTTTGAGGATTCGTTTCGCGCAGTGTAGCAGTGAAACAACTCCTATTGTTTATACACATGCCCGTGATTTTCCCATCATCGACCACTGCTACAGGTGAGGCACACTCCAAACAAATACAAACAAATAGAGGAAGTCACCTGGAGCCCGCCGGTCACACGGTTGTGCTTCCTTCAACACAAGCAAACAGTCCTGTCATTGTTTGGGTGCCCAAGATACACATCCAATTGAACTTGCAATGCACACATCGCTTGCCGCTTGCCTCATAGTCATAGTAAAACGATGTAAAATGAAACGCAGAAAGCGATGGAAAGCTTGGTCTACTTGTCCTGGTACTATTCTTGAGCCATGGCATCATGCCAGATCACCTCTCCAAACTACACACAGACACACCGACACACATGCGCCGTGCATCCCTCACTCTTCCCATTTGCCTTCAAGGACTTCAAGGCTCCTTTTCCAGCTCCTGTCCAACACGCATGTGCCGAGAACCAACTGTATACGTAGGCTCAAGCTTCCTGCAGAAGTGGAATGCTTGATACTTGTCTTACAAACGACTTGCACAGTGCACGCTAAGTGCACCCGGGTGCATGGAGCAATCCAAGTCGTTCGAAGTATATACTCGGTTTCTCTATAATATATATACATACCAGGGTACAATCTAGATTGTCCAAGCAGTGATGACACTTGTCTCAAACAACAACACTGCTGATGCAAGCAACCTGGAGATACTACCTTTTAAGAGCAACCATGTGTGTTGGTGGTATTGCCACAATCGCAAGGAATCTTGTTGCCATTCAAAGGTATCCGGCCAAGCACATTCAAAGGTATCCGGCCAAGCACATTTAAAAACACTATATAAACACATAGCCGATCATGGCCGCTTTTTGCCCCAGTTCAAGGACACCTCAGATCCCCTCCGCTTCCGAAGCCCAAGCCCAGCCACATCCAGCCACCCACCGTGTCCGCCCACCGCGTTGGCCCGATCGCCTGAGGGAGCGGCTCAAAGGGAGCAAGGTCAGTACCTGACGCTGGAATGACGGAGTCGATCGGTTGAAACGGCAATCCAAACATGTTCCTTTTGGGTGAGTGCCTGCATTTCCCCAGCGACAAGGCGTTCGCTTTCGGCACTTCCTCTCCAGACTGCACCGCACTTCCTCTCCGCCCGAAGAACAACACCAACGGCCAGGCGCGAAAACGTCGCCCGGTGACTCACGTCGCTCTGAACATTGGCGTGATCGAGCTGGTCAGCAGCCTGCAAGGCCTTGCAGTGCCATGGCGGTCGTGTACGGAAAGAGAAGGGAGAGGGGAGGGTTCGGTTGGAATTCCACAAAAAAAACTCGAAAAAGAAACAAAACATTTAAAATACAAGGAGATGATACCCCTGGACCCCAACGAAGCCTCACTGGGAGCTTTGAGAAGTCAGTGGAAGAGAATGTTTGAGACATGTCCAAGACATGCCATTCATCATGATTCACCCTGATTCACCTCTCAAACTGGCAAATCTCTCCGGGCTGTCTCCATGAGGATGCCTTCCAAATCCTCTAGGCGATCTGTTCTCACTGCGGGACCTTGAAGAACATCGCTGCCCGCAGCTCACAGCGATTGTCACATCGTGCCTGATGCCATGCAGCCACACTCTGCAAGGCTGAAACCTGAGGACATCGCTGAAGAAGTTGAGAGGCCATTGTTACTAGTAGCTTCTTGTTCCTAGTAGTAAGAATGCTCCTAGTAGCGATGCCCTTTGTTCCTAGTAGCTTGGTGGCCAACCAGGCCACATAGAGGGACGTTGACAGAACTTCTGTGGCCAACCGGGCCGTACTTTTCGCCCCTGCCCTTCCTGTGGTTTCCAAGGGATCGCAAACCAGTGTGGATTAAAAACAAGACCGGAGCAAGGGATCTCGCTGGCCTACTTTTACAGATCTTCCTACAAGAACCTCCCCCCCACCACTTCAATAACCTCCATCGCTCCTCCGGAGAAACCGCCAGGCGCCCCCGGCCGCCGCGTTGGAGGTGACCTCGCCCACCTGCAGCGCTTGGCACCGAAAGAGGCCCATCCTCGGTGCGGCTGGAGAGGTGGCAAGGCCTGGGAAGGTCCAAATGGGTGGGATGCACATGCCAAAGTGATAGCTAGCTTTGGAGGATGTGCTAGCTCCGTGTGAAATCACTCGTTGATGAGTGTTTCCATGGGTTTCTGATTGGCTCTTCTTTTTCCTTGACACATTCTTAATAATCTTTGTGTGGGCCTTGTAGTTTCATTTTTTCAGTCCTGCGGCACATTCACACTTCTATTCAACGCGGTAGGGCCCGGCCAATTGGGCAAAAACCAAAGGATGAGTCTTCATACGTGCACCTCGTTGGATCCATGTCCATCCAAAGACGTGTTCACCATGCCCTAATTTTGGGTATCACAAAAGCCGAGAAAACAAGCTTTACAAGAGAGGCCTTTCTGAACCTTGCAGAGTTGGCGCTGGAAACAGGTCTTCTGACCAGAACTAGTTGGTGGTTTCAACTCATTTGAAGTCATATTTTTTCACCATATTCGTCAGTGGATCTCATCCGAAGTCAA